GGGTTGGACCGGTCTGTGGAGGTACAGAAGGAATCACTGCACAGTGCCAGGCACTTGAGCAGTGCTGTTTTCTCTCGTTTCAGTGAAAGCTCAGGCTGTCCCACCTGCCTTCCACTTACCTGTCCCTCTGAGCTGCGGCAGTAGTCCTTGTGACCTGCAGTACAGAATACATTTGGTCCAAAGAGAGGTGAGAGGTTGTCCCTCTGTGTCAGGGAGAGAGAAGACCTGCAGCAGAGCCTTTTTAATGTAATTCTCCTTTGGGTGGTGGAGTTTCTTTGGGCACACAAGACTACGATCCATTCAAGTTGCCAGCCTCTCCCCATAGTAGTTTCTCACAGGGATTTGTTGCTGCAAGTAATGATACAAGTAGCCTCACCCTCATGGTTGTTATGCTTGAAATTTGCAGGAACCTACAGATCTCATGAAGCAGCCCAGCTAGCAAGGTGCTGTTATTGGGCCACGTAGGGCAGACAAGGCAGCGGGGTGCTGCTGCCTCTCTGTCCTGCTCAATCGTCCCATGGGTGTGCGAGGTCCAGCAAGCCACCAGCTCGCTGTCCCGCTGCAGGGCCAGGGGTGTTTGCAGAGGAGCTTATACCATTCACACTGGTGTGGGTTGACTCCCAGGTGCGCGAGTGCGAATCCAGGAGGTGAAATCACGGCTGTGCCCCTGGGTGCAGTGGGAGGCTGCAGTGCCCTTGCAGTCAGGATGCTATGCCCATGAGCAAGGTCATCCCTGCAGAAGCAGCTGCTGAGGGCCCTCTCTCGGGCCACCTGCCTTCCAATTTGCTCCGCATCTGTGTCTCTCAGGGCCCAGGGAGCTGCTCGCCCCCCACATGCTGCTCGTTATGGTTCTGTAGGGCTGCGCAGCCCTGACAGACAGGAGCAATGAGGGAGCGGGTAGCCCAGCAGCTCTGCATGCCCAGTTCACCTGCACCAAGAGCGTGACAAGGGTGGCTTCACTGCCATCTGCCTCTTGGCCGCCACTGTTTAATAAAAAACTTGGTCCTCTACAGGCTTGTTGAGGCTTGGCAGTAGCTCCACAGGTGTGGGGAAGCACAGGGATGTGGCAGAGAGAGCTGTAGCAATTTACAAATCTGCGTTTCATGGACCAGAAAGGCTGTTGCCTTAGAATGTAAGTGCAAAATTGGTGAGGAGCTATTGCAAATATGTATGCTGGCAGATAAAACAAATGTAGGTGATTTGTCTTTGTTCTGCACCAGCTTAAATGCTTGCATCCCCTGCCATTGGCAATTTGTCTTGGTTCTTTTAAATTCCTAAGTGGATTATAATTTTTCTCGTGGTATTATTTGACAACAGTCATATTTCATGGCTTTACTGCATTCTTTGGATAGTTAGAATTTTTTTAAGCAAAGGAGCTCAGTAAGAGGCAGCCATCTCCAGGGCATGTCGTGTAATGCGGACGCTGAAGACATAGCTGAAAATGTTCTTTGTATTTTTATGTAGTTTTTATGCTCAGAAAATACAGGATTCGGCCTATGATGGTTTACAGCATCTAAAGCACATTATTACCCCAATGCTGGATGCAAATACTTTAAATGCTGTAGCATGAGTAAATTCCTCAGTATCTAATGTACTGCAATGACTCTGGAATACTCAGTCTAAAAGAACAGTGAATTCGCAATATAATGAGGATATTTTTAAGCTTTTCAGACACTAATGGGCTCAAAAATACAGGCATAAAACTTAGCTTCTTTGCATTTATCTATGCATAAATTCCTGTCATGGAGTATGTTTGTGTAAAAATGATAGGGATCATTTCGGTATCCATTTACCCTGCTCCTAGTATTATATTCTCATTTGTTAGTTCATAGAAATATGCCATATCTAATTAGGTTAGTAATGATTGTACTTAGCATAGGAATTGCAGCAACATAAGGAGAAAATAATCACACATTGCAATATCAAAATAAACATTTCTGTCCTAAGAATGTTGTCAGGTGATGTCATACCATCTGTCCTACTGTACCCGCTCGGAAATTTTGCTGCAGCAGCATCTGGTACTTTGGCGAGCTTGGCAGACAACTGTGGTAGCTTTACAGCTGCCTTTAACTTTGCTTTTATATTTAAACAGTATTAAGACTTCATGGTCTATGTTCCTATAAATGTGTTTGCTTTTACTAAAGTTTGGATACTGAGCAATTTGTATATTTTCCTGGTTTGCCGAATAAGGTACAGTGTGTGAATTGTCCTGGGAATTTGCAGTTGCCAAACTGTAAAATACAGCTCTCCCCTCCTCCTTCACTCCACAGCCACCTTGAGGCCTGGGAAAGAGACGCTCCCCTTTGGGGAAGACCCTTTCCTGGGCACAAGAGAACCTGAGCCCTCAGTTCTGTTCCTATAAAAATGTGGTTATTTGTACAACCTGGAACAACTCCAGCAGAGAGAACTGAGAGGAAACAATCACAAAATAAATAATAGCCTGGTCACTAGTGGTGGGGACAGTTTTTCAAGCCCTTACTCTGAACGAGGGAGAGCAGAGAGATGCTTTGGGGCATCTCACATCCCCAGGGGGAGCACAACTGCTGGGCACTCCTAGGCAGGCTGCGGGGGTGCTGGGGGAAGGGAAACGTTTTGGTTTAATTTTGCTAGAAAAGGCTGAAGTGCTTACATCTACCGGGGAATTCTCATCATTCTACTTGAAAAATGGAGATGTTTGCCTGATCGCAGATAGGCTTCCGTCGATAGCCACATTCGGTGGCCCAGCCTGTGCCCCGTCCTCCTGCACTCCACCCCTGGTAGCTTAGGAAAGCAACAGGAGCAGGTTTCTGGACTCCCTTTCTTGCGTTTCTGGCAGTTCCCGGGTATATGGGGTGCTGATACATTTTACTGAGATCTAATTTTTTCAGTAGGCAGCAAGATACAGCAAGAAATATTGAGCATGACTTCTAGTTATTTACTAGTAGTACAATCTAAATACGTGACAATAGTGTCAAAAACCCAAAAGTTGGAGCCATGGTGCTTTCTCATATTATTTTGCATTTTTTGTTTTGTTTGTTTTGTCATGTTAAAACATCTCCTTAGTCCACTTTTGTCACTACTGTGTAAAGTAAGGTGCTAAATCTGACCACGGATACTGTTATGGTAGTCACTCATGGTTGCCAACCGGTACGATGATTTCCTGTATCGTGTGTAAATGATCAGCGTGCAAGCTAGACCCGTGCTGGGGGAGGGCTAGCTGGCACATCTTCATGGGCACACTCACTCCTGCGTGCATGCATTCAGCTCCCCACCACCCATTTATTTCTCTGCCATGCCTGTTTTCCTCTTCAAGGTAGAAACAGCTTCTCTGGATCAGCTCTGCCCCTTTTGGGCTCCACATGCACTAAGTAAAGGCCGGGCAAGTTTTCCGCTTGTGCACAGAAGAAGCTGGGATGGCGTTCTTTTGAAAGAGGGCTGCAAGGAAAATCTGTGGAACTGGTGCTCTCAGACTTAGACTTGCTTCTGCAAACACCTTAATAAAGTGTTACGCTTTCCTTTTTCCTTCCACAAAATTAAAAGAGAAATACAACCCTGTAAAAAGCATGGAACATATCTCAGTTTTGGCTCCATACACAGATGAGTGTTCTCTGATTCTAAATTCACATTTCACTGTGCTAGATGATTTTTAAATAGATTTCAATTTAATTTCCTAAGTGCAGAAATCTAGCCAGTCCATTTCCTTTTCCCCAGAGTTTTGGACATCTGCTAGGGAAGACTCTGCTTACACCAAAGGAAGGCTCTGAGTGGATGTCCAATTAATTTGGATTTGTCATTTCAGTTTGTTCATTCAGCAGGTATATTGTAAACCAAATAACTTAAATGAGGTCTGCTTTGGGGTTTTAAATATTTTATTTGTGCTTAGCTTTTGGGAACTGCCCCTTATATACAGCATCTGTTCAATATAACAGGGTTTTCTAGCATTCATTGACTGCATATCAGCTTTCCTTTAACTGAGTTAGCAAAATATTTTGTGATCTGCATGGTTAGAAACCCCAGTGTTTAATCCTGCCACTCTCAAGCTCCTTCAGTCTGCTCACACAACACTGTGAAGCGGCTTGACTAGCGGAGGGTCTTCGGGCTTTGTCCTTCCTCTTTCATTTCAGGCACTGGAAGGTGTTCTCATCTTGGAGAAATGGCAGCCCCTAAAAGACCATATTGGACTCAGTAGGGGGCTGCTGTGGACTTCACTGGGCCAAGGATTTCCCCCAGGCAGGAAAGGGGTTGCTGAGGTGATTCCCATGATTATAATGAGGTGCGATGGGCTGAAGTTAAGAATAGGAAATTGAAGCTGAATGTGTTTTGGCAGAGAGAGATGGTCATCTATAGAGCTAGCTCCTGAGGGAAGTGGTAAAAGTTTGGCTCTTTAATATTACATGGGTCAAAATACTGGAGGACATGCAATGAGGACCACTTCTATAGTAACAGCAACACAGAGTAACTGGGCTTCTTGTTATTGTCATTCTGGAGTCAGAAGAAAATCCCTTCCATCTCTTTTAGTTAAGGGGCATTAGCATATGCTATAGATAGAGGTTTGGGTTTTTTTAATAGACAAACAGGAGGTGTATACGTGTGGGCTCTGCAGCACTAGCAGAAATTCAAGCTCTGAGGACGTGGGACATTAAAAGGCATGGTTTAAAGAGGCAGAAATAGGCTTTCCTCATGAGCATATTCATCTTATTATGCTCTGCGAAGGGCTCTTTATCACCGTGCTGCTGCTGGGTCTTTCAGTGTAAATTACTCCCTTGAAGATGACCATGTTTTGTGGTTTGCAGTAGGGACACAGGTTTTTTGATGTTGACCCTTGTTCACAAGGGGCTATGACACAATCACTAAGTTGTTCATGGAAATCATACCGCAGAAAATCATAGTCCCAGGAGTAATGTGAGAGTCATTTAATCCATCAAAGCATGCTACCCTCCACAGGAGCACATGCAGACCCATGCCATAATAAACCTCTGTTCTTTTTGTACAGCACTGATTTTCCTGTTTCTTTCTTGCAGTACAATAAACACCTCTTCGTACACATCGGACACGCTAACCATTCTTACAGTGACCCGTTGCTTGAATCGGTGGACATTCGTCAGATTTATGACAAATTTCCTGAAAAGAAGGGCGGTCTAAAGGAACTGTTTGGGAAGGGGCCCCAAAACGCTTTCTTCCTCGTAAAATTCTGGGTGAGTAAGACATGAACGATGTGGAGAACCTCTCTTGTCAATAAGGCCTGTGTTTAGTATTTAGCATTCTTCAGGGTGCTTGTGGAAATTTCTTCTGTCATCATTTAAAAGTGCAAAGCTGTATATCCTTCAGGTAGGACGCTGGCCCAGAGCCACTCTTGTTGACAGCTCCACAAGAAGTTTGTGTTGCAGACGACATGCAAAGGCAGATGCGTGCCTCAACTGTGCTTGACACAGCTGCTGGGCAGGAGCAAACAGGTAACGAGAGCCCTCGTTTGTAAATGGGGAACTGCCATCTAGTGGTCCAAAAAAACCCGGGGAAGCGCAGAGATGGAGACTGCTTTTTAGTGTTTCAAATGTTGAAGTCTTGCCAAATGCAAATAGTACAAGTATCAGTCCTGCAATCAGTCCACACTTAAGCAGATAGGACCAAGCAGGTTCTGAACCAAGTGTGCAGCAGGACGACTGTGTGCCTGGGAGGTTTCCAGGATTTTTCTTAAATATTTTTTGGTTGCTAGAGCACATCTGCTTTCCCCTTCCTTTTTTATTAGTCAACCATGGGACTCTGCTCCAAAAGCTATATCTGTTCATATCAGTTGTGAGCAAGAGTGAAAAAAGAATTAGAATGGAAGGCTGAGATATTGTATATTGATCTAGTGTTTATCTATGTGACCTGAAATACTCTCCACCTTGCACATGCCCCAGACTTCATATCTTGCCAAGAGTTTCTCTGGCACCAGATTTGGAACTGGAAGCTGGGAATGAGGGAGACTCTCTTTTCTCAAATCTGGGTGTAGAAGGGATAAACCACTGAGCAAGAGCTGTGGTGGACTGCAGAAGAAATCTGTTGAGAAATTCATGGGGCTTAAAACTGGGCATGGGAGCTGTAGGCCAAGCGTTTGAGGGCTGGCTGAGCAAAGAGGCCAGGAAAAGGAGGCAGCAGAGAACCAGGAGCTGAAACACAGCAGGCACCAGGAGCCTGGAAAAGGCATGTGAGAATGTAGGGTCAAAAAGAGGGAGGCAGTGAGAAGAGGGAGCATTTGGGATAAGGAGCCTGCGGGGAAACATAGGGATGAAGGCATATAGCAGAAACAGGTATGTGAGAGGTGGGAACAGGACAAGCGTATGGGCAGAAGAAATCTGGCTGCAGAGGAATAGAGCATGGAGGTTAAGGGTCTGTGACCACTAAATACATTTCCTTGCAAAACTTGGGCTTGAACTGGGGACTGTCATCTCACCAATCCACTTTGCATAATATACTTGTGAAACCCGCTAGCAGAATGAATGTCACCTCACTTGCCTGTTCTCAGTTCAGAGAATGACAAGCCTCAGACTTTAGATTAGACGTGAAAGCAGCAGAGATTTGTGATACGGTCATTGATGTATTGTATGTTCTGCTTTTTCTCAATGTGGAAACTGATTTTCAGGCAACGCTCAAAGATGTATCTAAAGCCAGTAGAGATGATCTTTGGATCATTAAGGTCTGTGTTGTATTCATGACTTTGAAAATTCAAGTGCCAGCTTTCTCTGCTTGATCTCCTACAAGCAGTGCACACCTTTAACACTCTTGCCTCAGTTCCTTATCTCTAATATGGGGGTGATACCATCCCTTCACCGCAGGTGGTCACTGAGAAATCAAACTCATGGCTGTTTATAAAGAATTGAGATAATGCCATGAAGAAAACCTTTATAAAATTAATAATTCTGTGTTCAGCACAAGTCTGGAGTAGGTGCAGGAAATAGGGACTGGGACACATTGAATAATGAAGACAAAGAAATACCGTATAGATGCTGAGGGGGCGAGCGTGCAGTCGTGTAGCTAAAGACTGTATCATGATGCAGTTCAGCAATCAGGATGTGCAGGCAACTTCAATCCAACATTTCCTAACCTCACTGTGCCTTCCAACATAATGGTCTTTTAATACAATTTAGTGTTGTATTAACTTAGAGATTAAGAAACATACAGTGCTAACATCCTTCTGAGTTATACATTAAAAATGTGGTGAGAATGCCTTCCTGAGCCATGACCTTGAAATAGGCCAGTGGATTTTCTCTCTCATGGGGTGAGTGAGGCAGAGAGAAGGTGCCAGGGGCAGTGTTTGGGTGTAGCGAGAGTCACGATAAATGCCCTTCTAGGAATAAACTTCACACCAGTGCCCCCATCTAGAAATATGTACAGGAAAACCAGAAGATGGCTGTGTAATTAGTCATGAGAATTAGATCTTAAACTGTTCGTTCACTGTCCTTAATTTCTTTCACCCCAATAGGACATTTCTTCAGAAAAAAAGGACGCTGTTCCCATTTTTATGGGGAATGTTGAGAAACTGTTCTAAATAGTCATATATTACCAGTGTAAAGCTGGCAAAGGTTGCTGACAATCTTTTTGACCCTATTAGTAACTTCAAGTTTATTAATATGAAAATAGATTAATGTTTCTGTTCTTGTCCTTTTCTTTTAAATTAAGTATCCACTTCTGAATCAGTATTCACTCTTTTCTTATCATCCGCTACCTCCTCCTGCTCTGAAAGTTCAGCTTCTCCCAGGTTCTGTTCACGTTGCATGGTTATTGCTTACTCACAATACTCTCTCTCACCCTTTATTTAACCTTTTTCCCCTTCCCAGCCTTTCTGTTGTCTTCTCCCTTCATTATCGTTTAACCATTGATAGTTTGCTCAGTGCTGTAAGCTAGTGCATCCTAGCATCAGTGTCCAGTGACAGTCCATGTTTTGGTGGAATTTGATGGTAACATGAGTAAAAGAGGAACATGAATTTGTGTTAGGCAAATAAGCACAGGTGAGAAAGCAGTGTAAGGAGAATCAACAAAAGAAATCCAGGGACAATGAGTGAAAGAAGTTTAGGGAAACCAAAGAAGAAAGCAGGCGGGTGTCATGGCATGTGGAAGCTTGAAAGCAAAGGTGAGGATTTGACGCCAGAAGGGATGGTGAGCCTGTAAATGGATTTAAAGAGAAGTCAGCATGTCGCTGGAGGCAGCACGGAGGGTATTTTGTTTAGACATTAAATCTAGTGTGGAAAGGAAGGATGGGAAACAGGAAGACCAGAGATGAGCACTCGCATTGAGGATGACTAAGGCAGAAAGCAGCTTGGCTCTGGTAGCTGGAAGGAGTACTCCTCTTGCTCTTTCCCATTTAGTTGTGCTTGAGGCTTCTCAGCAGAATGGTTTTCCCTGTGATAAACGTAATAAGGTTTGATTACAAAAAAGTGGGAGGGAAAGGTCCGAGATCTTGCAAGAAGACATTTGGCAATTGTGGAGTTGACTTTGCAAAGCATGACAGGTATGGAATACAAAGCAAAGTGTTGCTTTGCTTTGCAGAGGTGTATTGGTTCACACAGATTGTATCTCCTGTGAAATACAGCCTGGTGCTGGGAATGGATGAGCTTCTGGCCTCGGTCCTAGTAACACATCTGGACGTGACAGTTTTGGGCCTCTTCCTACCTAACAGTGCAGGAGGTATAAAAGGAAGAGACTTCTCCTTTTACACCACCTCAAGCAACTGACCTTACAGCCCTGCAAAGCAATGTCCTGGTCCTTGTCTGGCACCTTGAATGCAGTGACTCTTCTGTTTATCCCAGGTAGTCACTGGGAACCAGAGAGTTCAGGGAAGTCACCCCAGAGACAGGCTTTTACAGTAATAGATAGAAGGAGCTTTACTTGGTATGTTGTGCACTCAATACAATGAGTAAATAAGGAACAACGTACTAACGATATGGCACAGGAAATTTGTGTGACAATGATATGAAACCAGAGATTACAGGGATATAAAATGAAAACAAAAATACATGTTCTTAAATAAATGTAAAAGTTGTTTCCTAGAACGCTGATGAGGAATTCAGACAAGGCTGCAGAATATCTGCAGATGAAACCTTTCCCTGGGTGCAGGTTGAGTGCACAATCCTGCTCCTGTTACCTTAGTCACTAGCAAAATAAACCCAATCTATGTAAAACAACAAGATGTGATTTATGCCATCTAATCTTAATCTGAGTAAGGTCAACATACCTGTTGGTTAGTTTGTACTTAAACTGTTTTTGTGACTTGAGAAAAGCCCTGGAGTTTTCTGGTCTTTGAAGTTCTGATTAGCCTATCTAAAAGCTAAGTCAACACGTTGCCTCTATTTGGTTTTTTTATTGGTTGAAGTTCTGCTCATATTGATATCCAATGCTATTCCCACTGATTACTCACTACTATTCTTGAATTATCTAATACTAAATAATACACTTAGGCCTCCTGAAAGAGTTCAAACTAAATGATAGATTGCACCTCCAGCTTTACCCCAAAATGTCTGTCTAAAACGTTATTGCTGGCCTTGCCTTCTTGGCCCACAGTGCTGACTGATTGCCCAGCGCTCTGCCTCCCTGGCTCTCCACTTTCTCTTGCAGGAGGTTGATGGTATGTCTGTCCCACTCACACCACCTCCCTTTTGAATCCAGTATCCCTCAGCCACATCTCTAACACATACCTTCATTTTGACTCTGCTGTTATGTTACCACATGCATCTCCATTGGCTCCGGCAAGGGAATTGCTCTAGGGAGGCACAAGTCTCTGTCTCCCTCTATGCCCCGGCTAGCTTTGCTAGTTCTGTAACTTGCTCCTATCTAGCACTTGTTCAGCCGGCAAACACTTTTCACTACTAAGAGCCCCTTTAATGTTAATTCAGCAGTGCCTATCTGTCCACTGCAGCCTAGACTAAATTCTTCTGGTTTAGCTAGTTATTTCTCTCCCATGTTTTGCCTCAACCCCCGATTGCAAATTCTGAGGCAGGGATTCTCTTTTTGCATGACTTTTCTATGTAACCTATAGTATTGTACAGTGGGTCCGTGCCTCCGTTGGGACCCTTAGCGCTGGTGCAAGCACACCTTGCAATAATGTGGCCGAGGATTTTTGTGTCTCTGCCACCGCCAAATGCTCCGTGCCAACCTGAACTGTGACTTCTGCAGCTACAGGAACAGATATGGGAAGCAAATATATCTGAAAGGAGGAGGG